AGTAAACATATTAATAATTCAAACAACATAAATGAAACAGAAGAGCCCTCAAAAGACACACATTTCTACAGTTCATCAGTGAAGAAACAAGTAACCTGAATAACTGGATGTTGGTATAATAAATCGACTTCATGGTTTAAAAGCCCCACATATCAAAATTCAAGGCCCAAATTGATTCACTTGATCAATTCTACCAAACATTTATGTAAGAAATAGTACCAATTCTCCAAAAACTTACTAGAAAAATAGAAGAGAAGGAAGACATATTTCCCAATTCCATTGCTTAGGCCAGTATTACACTGAAATGAAAACCAAATAAAGAAGTTAAAAGAAAATAAAACCATACATGACTTTCCCTCATGAACACAGATGCGAAAATCCTAAACAAAATATTAGTAAATTAGTCCAACAATATATAAAAGTTATAATACAGCATGGTCAAATAGCTTATCCCAGCATGCAAGGTTGGTTTAACATTTGAAATTAAACAATGTAACTCACCATATTGACAGACTAAGACTAAAAGACGGAACAACGTGATCATCTCAATAAATGCAGAAAAAGCGTTTGAGAAAATAAAGCACACATTCATTATAAAAGCTCTGAGCAAACTAGAAATAGACAGGAACATCTTTAACCTGATAAAATGAATCTATTAAAAATACTGTGAATATCACAGTAAATGAAGAAGAATGAAGGCTTTCTCCTTAAGATTAGGAGCAAAGCAAGCCTGTCCACTCTCACAACTTCTCAGCATTATACTGGCAGTTCTCTAGAAGGCAATAAGGCAATCAAAAGAAATAAAAAAGCATCTAGTTAGAAAAGAAAGGAAAAACCTGTATACACAGAAAATATGATTTTGGAGAAAACTCTAAGAAATATACAAAAAATATCTGCTGGAACAAATAATTACATTTGTCAGTGCTACAGAAAATAAGGTCAAGATACCCAAATGAATTGTGCATATTAGTAATAAACAATTGGACATTTAAATTAAAATATACATGTATTTTTATGTAGAGAAAGCATCAGTTATAGTAAATACTTGGGAATAAATTTAACAAAATATGGGCAAAATCTGTATACCGAAACTATAAAACATTGCTGAGAGAAATTAAATATTAAAACTATCTTCCTTTCAAGGTGTTTACATTCTAATGAAGAAAACAGGCAGTATTTAAGATAAATGAGTTAAAAATGTAAACCAAGTGTTAATATGTTTAGATCTAGAGAAATACATCAGAGAAAGGGGTTATAAAAAGTTGGAGGCATGGCTATTAATATCTAGATATATGAGCCATTGGAGGACATGGAAGGCCTCACTTAGAAGCTGCCTTGAGAAGAAAGCCAAATAAATGAAAGGTCAAGAGCATATCAGGCAGAAGAGGACGTGCAAGGACCTTGTGAATGGCGTGTGCGTGGCTTGCTCCAGGGCGGACAGAGACTGGCATGGCTGGAGTGGAGGGGACTGGACAGCGGGGAAAATAATGGGAGATGGACACAGAGAGCTGAGGGGAACTGGGTCCAGCAGAGTTGCCTGGCCAGTCAGGACTTCGGCGTTTACCAGAGGTGAGATGGGAAGCTGTGGGAGGAGTCCCCGGGGGAGGGATGTGATTTACATGTTTGAGAGACGGCGCTGACCCCCTGGGAAAGCAGATACAAGGCCACTGCAGTACCTCAGAAAAGAAGGCACACACATTAGATGAGGGTAATGGTGGTGGGAAAGAGAAGAAACGGTTCCAAACCTATTTTGAAGGTAAACCCATGGTATTTTCTGACCGCCTAGATAGATGTAGGCTGTGTAAAACATAGGGACAGAGAGAAAAGATAGCCACGGGTTTGGCCTAACAAGCTAATGGGGTTGCTGCTATTCCCCAAGCTAATGGGGTTGCCACTATCTGAGAAGAGGAAAAAGGTTACAGGAGCTAGAGGGGTGGGAGTGGAGTAGAAGGGGTTTGGCTTGTTGCCATAGACTTGAGGTGTCCATGTGACACTCAAGTCGAGATGTCAGGGAGGCGGTTGGCCAGACAAGTCTGAAGTTCAAGTCCAGGTCCAATGCAGGCTCAGGTGGTCTGGGCTGGAGACATGAATGTTAGAATCCTCAGCTGGTGATGGGTGTTAGAACCATGACACTGGGTAACACCACCTAAGGAGTGAGGAGACCCAAATATCAATCCTTCAGCACACCAACATTCAGAGCGCAGGGAAATGGGAAAAAGCACAAAATAGCGTGAAAAGAACCAGCAAGGAGGTAGGAGAAAAGCAGGCGATGAGTGCCCTGGAAGCCAGGTACAGTCAGGCTTCGAGGAGGAGCGGCTGCTCAGCTGTGTCAAGAGGACAGCTGAGAAATTATGACATTTAGCAAAGTGAGTCTCTGATAACCTTGAGAAGAGCAATTGTGATCGACTGGTGAGGGTGAGAGCATGACAGGCGGGAGTTTAAGAATGAACGGGAGAAAAATGGAAGCACGGAGAATATTTTCAAGGGGAAGTGGATAGTTTTCTAAAGAAAAAAATCAACATTGTCTAAACCATGTAAGTAAGGATCAAATGTGCCCATATGCAGGAAACAGAAAGTAAAATATCAATGGAGCACCACTTTACATATAGGAGGGTCAAAATTGAAGAAGAAGCACCTGTGCGTCCAGAGAAGGGAAGAAAACACCCATTCATACATCTGCAGTGGGAGTGCACGTTCCAAAAACATTTTCGAAAAGCAATTTGGCAATACCTATTTAATTTTAAGACTTGTAAGTTGTCCATTTCACCCTTGGATATCTATCCTATACAAAAATGTGAAAATCATACACACATTGACCAAGATGTGGCTCAGGGTCTTTATTACAACATTGTTCAGTAGCAGCTCGCTGGAAATGCTTATAATCTCTTCTCATGATGCACAGCTTCTGTATTGCCAAATTCACCCCTGTGACCGAATGTATTAGTGAGCCCCGAGGTGCTGATCACAACCCCTTTGCCTGTGTTCTCAGACATTGTGGCAAAATATTTGCGTTGTCCAATGTTGGCATTCCCAGCGGCAGCAGATCAAAGCACTATTCTGCTTTCTTGTTTCAACTCTCCTGCTGTGAACGACTGTCCTTTTCTGTTGTTCTATTTTGCACTCCATTTTTTGCATGTTTGTGCTTTACACTGGTGATCTCACTGTTGAAAGCCAGCCCCAGGCATAGGGAGGAAGTACTGTCTCGTGTTCCTAAGTGCAAGAAGGCTGGGAGCACCTTATGGAGAAGACGCATCTTTGAGATAAGCTTTGCGTAGGCATAAGTCCTATGCTGTGGGCCATGAGTCTAGTGTCTCTGAATCAATAATATTATTCAATAAGATGTCTTTAAAAAGAAAGACACATAGGCTGGGCGTGGTGGCTCACCCCTGTAATCCCAGCACTTTTGGAGGTCAAGGCAGGGGGATCACGAGGTCAGGAGATCGAGACTATCCTGGCCAACATGGTGAAGCCCCGTCTCCACTAAAAATACAAAAATTAGCTGGACTCAGTGGCACGTGCCTATAGTCCCAGCTACTCAGGAGGCTGAGGCAGGAGAATCACTTGAACGAGGGAGTCAGAGGTTGCAGTGAGCTGAGATCATGCCACTGCACTCCAGCCTGGCAACAGAGACTCCATTTCAAAAAAAGAAAAAGAAGACACATAAAACAAGGTTATCTATTTGACCAAAATATTGCGACCAGAGGTTCAAAGGAACCTAACCTTGAGTGTCTCCCAGAAGCTAGGGTTCAATATCCACCAGTTCCACATGCACTAGTATTCAGGATGACTTTAGAGAACAAAGCTACCATAAATAACAAGAATAGATTGTCTTGCTTTGGTGAGAATTGAGTGAGTGAATTAAAGTATTTCCCAAGAGGTGCATCATGGGATATTATGAAATCTTTAAAGATCACTACTCAATGAAAGGAACCCGAGTCCTTGGAGTATTTCCCTAAGATGTTGCTGCATGAGAAGACTAAGGTGTAGAGGTGCGCAACATGATGTCGTTTCTAACCACGTCAGCTCTCTCTGTGATTTCATGTGGCTGCCTGAGCATACATAGAGTGATGTCCTCCAGGTCAGCAATGGGGGCTCTGAGGGTGGGTGTGGGTATCTGTGTAGCAGCGTGCTTGCAGTGCGGAGGGCAGGGGCAGATAGAAAACAGCACAATTGATGGTATCATTTACGTGGGATGACGTTTGTACTATGAAGAAATTTGAAGGAAAAAGTCATAGTTGGTCTTCTATCTCCTGCCTTGTAGGGATGCCCATGTTGGAGAAAGAGCAAGTTGCAAAATAACATGTATAATGAAATTCTATTCCAGTAACAACTCTGCTTATGACGTGCTTCTAAGAATGAATGAGAAGAAGGTTTTTAAACATATAAGGTTAAGAGTCTTGTAGAAAAGTTTCCTTTTTAATGCTTCCTTCTTTCTTTCTTCTTTATTCTTTTTTTCTTTCTGAGACAAAAGTTTCACTTTTATTGTCCAGGCTGGAGTGCAATGGCCTGATCTCAGCTCACTGCAACCTCCGTCTCCTGAGTTCAAGCAATTCTCACGCCTCAGCCTCCCAAGTATCTGAGACTATGTGCCACCACACTTGGCTAATTTTTTTTTTTTTTTCTTTTTTTGTAGAGATGGGGTTTCACCATGTTGGCCAGGCTGGTCTTGAACTCCTGACCTCAGGTGATTCACCCACCTTGGCTTCCCAAAGTACTGGGATTACAGGCATGAGCCACCGCACCCAGCCTTTATTACTTATTTCTATTGATTTGTCTCAGTAAGTGCAATAAGTATGTTTTGCTGAAATTTGAAAAAAAAATACAAATAAAATGTGAAAAAACATCAATTAGCTAAATATTGTTTAGCTAACAAAGAAAGGAGATAGCCATTTTAATAGCTAATTCATTTCGAAAATGGCACCAGCAGACACAATTTCATTACAAAATTCTGACTTGTTATATGTAACGCTTTAAAATCCTTTGTCTATTTTTTCTTTTAGGAGTCATTAAGAGCCATCAGATACGAAATATCTCCAGATAGAGAGTATGCACTTTTTTCGTACAACGTGGAACCAGTGAGTATTATCCTTTTCTGCCTACAAAAGAATTGTTTCTTTATGCGAATGTCTCATTAAGTATATATCCTTGAATCTTCTATACTTAGTGATCTTTGAATCCTGAAATATTTTGTGCATCCTGGAAGTCTCTTTTGCATATCATACTGCCATCTAGGAGGGAGGAAAGGTATAAAAATCTGCTTGGCAGGGGAAAAAGGTCACATACTTTAGAGGCTTTTTCATAGACTTTTCTTAGGAAGATGGTGAGAACTTGTCTCTTCATAGACACGAATCCATGCCCTTTTGTGCAATTATTTTTCTGGCCATTTTTTCAATGAAACCGTAAAGTTTATCCTAAGAACAAAAAGCACCTGGGGTTCTCCTTAAACTGAGATGATATGCTCATTATCTCCTGGCCATCGTAGTGTTCTGGTGAAGAGCTGAAGCTATCACTTCCATTCCATAAATGCATATATATTTCAGCACTTCCCGTGTACATGAGCCTGCCATAAAATCTCACCAGAGTTTTCTGTAAAATCTCGCTGTGCTTTAGCAGGAGTCTAAAACTCCCTAAGCCAGGGTCTTCCTCCTCCTCCACCTCCTCCACCTCCTCCTCGCCTCCTCCTCCTCCTCCTCCTCCTCCTCCACCTCCTCCTCTTCCTCCACCTCCTCCACCTCCTCCTCCTCCTCCTCCTCTTCCTCCACCTCCTCCACCTCCTCCTCCTCCTCTTCCTCCACCTCCTCCACCTCCTCCTCCTCCTCCTCCTCCTCCTCCTCCACCTCCTCCACCTCCTCCTCCTCCTCCTCCTCCTCCTCCTCCTCCACCTCCTCCACCTCCTCCTCCTCCTCCACCTCCTCCTCCTCCTCCACCTCCTCCTCCTCCTCCTCCTCCTCCTTCTCCTCCTTCATCTCCTCCTCCTTCTTTTTTCATTTAGCATGCTGGTATTTCAAATTTCATTTTGGCTCTTGAATTTTAAATAAGCTAGAAGGTGAAATTTATATAATTGAAGAAGATGTTCAGTTTGTAAGAGATAAGCAACTTTAGAATTGTGTGTTTTAAGAACTTTACTCTCTGGCAAATAAAATATAGAGTCTACTACTGCTGTTCTGAGACCATTCGAATTAGAGGTTCTGAGCAGTTCTGAGCATTTCTGAGACCATTCGAGTTAGAGGTTCTTGATGCTTCTGTGAGGTATAATGATTCCTGCATTTTGATTCAGGGCAGAATGGCTCTATGGTAGGTTTGAGAGAATCTTCTCTGGCATGAGAGGGGCAGACTTTTTTGTTTATATCCACTGGGAAAGCTGGGGTATTGGTTTACATGAAAATGCAAGTTCATTTCTGAATTTGTAAAGTTTCTCTTAGAAGTTGATTGGACAACTAGATTATTGGAGATTTCAACCTTATTCTTCTAACTACAGATATTTTGGATTGCATTTCAGTCTTCCATTTTTCCATTTTTAAACATCCATTCTATAAAAGTTTTTATTTTTTCCATCCAAATTCTTTGAAACAATTGGGCATCTTTATCTCTTTGAGTGGGATTAGTTGGTGAACTTGACATTCTAAAAGGCTTGGGACTCTGCATTACGTAGACACGGCCTTAAAATTGCCTCTTTCAGCTTCAGGCACCTGGGTGTGATGTTCACAGATCATAGACTATTTCAGCTTCCTTCATCACCCTTGAAAACCACCAAAAGTATAATCTCCACCCCCATATAAAAGAAAAATGTTAGCAGATATTTGAAAGGCTTTCATGGATGTGTTCTGGGTTGCCCCAGGAGGTACAGCTAACGCCTGAGTGAGAAAAGCCTAGAAAGACAGATTGATTTCAGGCTGTCTTCCCAGAGAATCTTTTAATCATTGGAACACCCCAACAGTGGGATAAAGGTAGTGAGAATTCTGCTCCTAGCAGCCTCAAAACAAAGCGGCGTATTTGTTCTCCAGAATGTGACAGAGGGGTTCTCACACCAATGTGATTGGAAGAGGCATGCTCTTGTCAGTGGTTCTGTGGTTCTGTGCATGATACAATTCTCCACCAATTTCTTCTGCTTCCCAGTGCTCTGTTTGAAAGACTGCCCTGGGATCCCTGAAACCATTTTGATGGAGATCATTTTGCTAAAGATGAGTCTTCACCATGTAGAGCACTGGCTGTAAACAGGAACCTTGAAATAACCCTTTCTCACTGGACAGCATTCATTCTGGAGTAAGACTCTTCAGCTTGTTTTCTTAACTGAAGGAAAACCTGCAAAGTTTGAAGTGTATTTAGAAAACTATAAAAATGATAAAATGTTGAAAACATAAAAAAGTCTATAGAAACAAATACTTTTAACCTCAATGAAATAAGTAATTCTTAATAGTTTTCACTACCAAGCAGTTACTGTACACATGACTATTCAACCAACTATTCTCTGTTCTTCTGGAGGAAAAATCATAAGGAAAAAAGGTTGGGATGATGCAGGGGAATTTGGAGTTAGATTTTAGGAAGATCTTCCTAACTAGATAAACTAAAATGTAAGTAATTTTAGAAAAGGAAGGTGAGTTTCAACAGAAGAGTCTAGGTCTGTGATCTGGAATAAGTGGAATAGACCAGGACTTCCTAATCAGTATTTAGTATCAGTAATTATTGTTGCTAGTACTGTATTAATAGTATGATCAATAATATTATATTATCCATTGGTATTCTTTTAAAACAATTAATGGTTCCATATTGAAATAAATTTGAGAACTTTAGTTAAACAGATAAGTTTCCTGAAGTTCTTGACATTCTCATGATGGTTACACAGGACTTTCTGAGTGGTTATTACAACATGTGGTTCCACTCTAATTATAAGGAAACTAGAAATTTTTTATTTGGATTCATTCCCAATATATTCTTATGTGTATATCTCAAAGACAGCTAGTACAACTTATTTATGTGAACCAACTCAACTTTTTATTAAAAAGACTATTACAATAATGTTTTAGTATAAAGCAACTATCCAATTACTGAATATCTTTCATTTATTTAAGTATATGTTTCATTTGCAATGAAATTTTGGTATATTGGGTTACCACTGCACTAAGAAGAATCCAAGGCATGGGCGCAGTGGCTCACACCTGTAATCCCAGTATTTTGAGAGGCCCAGGTGGGCAGATTACCTGAGGTCAGGAGTTTGAGACCAGCCTGGCCAACATGGTGAAACCCCATCTCTACTAAAAATACAAAAAAATTAGCTGGACTTAGTGGTGCACGCCTTTAATCCCAGCTACTTGGGAGGCTGAGGCTGGAGAATCTCTTGAACGTGAGAGGCGGAGGTTGCAGTGGGCCAAGAATGCGCCATTGCACTTCAGACTGGGGGGGCTGAGTGAGACTCCATCTCAAAAATAAAATAAAATCCAAATATTTCACATTGCATCAGGATAATTATAATCTCTCCAACCTCTGCTTCTCTTTGTTGCCTGCCCAAAGACAGCAGACTTGGAAGTCAGATAATCCTAGATTCCAGGGCTCATTCCGATGCTCACCAGCTAGTTTGCTTGAGCAACCCAGCAAGCCTTAGGCAATGCATCTTGGAGCCATCTTCCTGGGAGACCCTGGGCTTCTGTCCCTCAGTGGCGAAGGGCCACCCAGTGTCAGCTCTCCCACACTTCTAGTGTGTATGTGTTTGAGCACAGAGTCATTCCGTGTGTATACCCAGGGCCAGATTTGAGGCTCTGTCCAATTGCATTGGAATGAAGTTGATGGATGCCCACATGAAATCAGCTGCCTCGGCAGGGGCTCAAGTAGAAGTGAGTCAGAGCTTTCCAGCACAGCATGGATGGTGAGAGAAATGAGTGAACAAGTACAGATTGTTAAAGAGTTTAGATACAAATAGTATAGCAACATCCTGAGAATAAGAGTGGAAGGAAAGATGTTTAACTTTTAGAATATGCATTGGGTATCTCTTCTTCTCATTTATTCAGACTAATTGCACTGTTGTATCATTTCCCAGTTGTTTGGCGTAGACTAATTTAATTTGTCCATTTTTATATTGTCAGATACTCAAAGACAGGGACAGGTCTTTTTATCTCCTATCTACCCCCACCCGTGAGGAGCCAGCACAGGACCATCTGTGTACATTTGGTATTGAGCAAATATATTTGTGCTGTATCTTCTCTCTGAACCCCTTAGCACTATCCCAAGATACAATCCAAGTTCTTGAAATTCTATCAAATGCACAAACTATGTAATAGAAGGAAAATACCTCAGTTGTGAAATACCCTAATAATTTTCCATGTTTATTCTGGAAATGTGGGATCATACTAATTAGCATACTTTTTCTTACTAAACTCTTTTAATATTACTAAATGTATAGCTTGGCCAGCATCCTTAAACACACACAAATCAGCTCATCTTAACTATGCCAACTCCATGTTTTATTGAGAGCCTCAAAAGTGTCCCTTAAAAAAGTATTCAAACTATCAGTTATCAAGTAAATTTGAGGAAGAGCAAACCCTGTTTTCCTTTCTCTAAGCGTCAGACACATATAGGCCATAGTGTGTCTGAAATGGAGAAAATAATACATAGTATTGTGTTTAGATTTCTGCGGACCCAGCATTATAGTTTTCAATGTGTGCTTATTCACAGCATCTTATTTTATCTCAAAAGATCACTCCTGCTCCAAAGAGACATTTGCTAAATATTCATAAAATTTCATAACATTTCTTAATGTACAGTTTCTGAATGTTCTCTTGAAACTAAATTAGACATTGGAGAAATAGGACTTTTTATTTTTAATTTCAAAACTGTATTAACTGTAACTATACTAACGAAGAAAAATGACCTTAAAACAAACATATCTAGTGAGAGCAGCCATGCTTTTTCATACTGAGATACATTTGACAAATATGAAATGTTTCCAAATCTCTTTGAGGAGAGGGAACAAGAATATAAAATGCACCATCTTAGATTATTTAAAAATATTAATACAGTTTGTAACATTCAAAGAGGCAAGAGAAAAATATTCCTTCTTGAAAAATCATTTCTGAAAGAGTCTCTGAAGATTTGTGAAGAATTTCATTGCAGTATTTGAAGGAATTGTTGAGATGACTGTTCGTAGCTGGATGATTGCCAGTGGAGCATCATTCTGCTCCAAATAAAATTCTGTCCAAAATCTGCTCAAATTTTAAGATTTGTGTCCCTAAAATCTCAGTCCATCACAGTCATTCAGTCAGTAAAAGGGTTGATATGCTGATCTGTTTATAAACTATTTATATGACTGCAACAGAGAAATGCATCCGTTTGAGTTCCCTGTCACTGCATGGCAAATTATCCCAACACACAGCAGCTGAACACAAGCGACATGTATCATCCCAGCTTCTGCTGGTCAGAAATCTGGACTCAAGTGAGCAGGATCCTTGCATTCAACGTCTTCTCTAAAGAAGGCTGCTGTCAAGGTGACATCCTGGCTGCAATTGCTTCTCAGAGTCACCTGGGGAGGGGTCTGCTTCCAAGGTCACCGTGTGGGTGTCAACAGGGCCCAGATCCCAACCTTAGAGATGGGCTCTGCTCAGTCCCAGGAGAAGATGGTTTGCTGCTGAGCTTTTCATAGGCAGGAGCTAGAAGCAGTTTTCACATTTGATAGGTTTCTACTCTTTTCCTGCCATCATAGTGAGTTAATAGCACACATTTTGCTCTCTAAGGGACTGAAATTTATAATCCATGTAAAGCTTGAAGAACACCCTAATGTGGATAATCCTGGTCAAGCCTGTTTGGTTGAGGTGAACCCCAACTACATTCCAGAATCTTCTGTGCACCCATCATGTCAAGTTACCCTTTATCTATAGCTTAATTAATTAAAAAAAAATAACTTGAGATTTTACAGATGTAATGTAAGGGATTGAGCTATAAATTATTGAACCCATACTGTGGACTGAACTATAACTGCTACAAATCAATTCAGGTATCCTGAGTATATTAGTTTCTTTTTTGATGGTGTCTCCTGGGCTGGAATGCAGTGGCATAATCTCAGCTCACTGCAACCTTCTTCTCCCAAGTTCAAGAGATTCTCCCATCTCAACCTAAGATTACAGGCACCTGCCACCACATGTGGCAAACTTCTTTTTTTTTTTTGGTAGAGACAGGGTTTCACCTATTGGCCCAGCTGGTCTCAAACTACTTACCTCAGGTGATCCACCCACCTCTGCTTCCCAAAATGCTGGGATTACAGGAGTGAACCACTGCACCCAGCCAATTCTGAGTCTATGAGTTTCTATGTTGCAGGAAATGTAGCTAGTGTTATAATACGGTCCTGATTTTTACTGCCACCCCTTCTTCATTTCAAGAAGGGATGAAATCTTTGTCCAGGAGTGGCAGTGGCTAAGGGAATTGTGTTTCCTGATTCTCATGCTCTTGGGCTGGTTCTTTCTACAGTGTCTACAGAGCCTTTCCTGGGCCCACCTCTGGGAACCAGTTGGTGCAAGTGTTTTCTGCGGGGACGAAGGCCTTGCACATTCCCATTTATCAGGGTGGCTAGCAGAATCACAGGGAATTCTGTCTCCCTCTGCGGTGGCTTCAGGGGGCAAACTGAAGAGCAGAGCCTGTGTGTGGCTTTTCTACTGCCGCCTGCTGTCCTTCCTGCTGTCCAGTAGCTGCTGCCGCAGTAGGAGGTGAGTCTCACCTTCAGCAGGTCTCTCTCCTGCTCTCTGAGAAGGCGGTGGATGAAGAGCCGGCCCACCGAGGCCAGAAGCTGCCCTGCACTTCCCGGAAGTGCTTCCTGCACCTGTCAGCATCACTTCAAGCCCTTTATCCCGGGGTGATCCACATGGTTTTGTCAGCACCCTGACATGTTACTCTTGGCGAATATAAGGCCAGCCTCTCTGTGACTCTTACTACATGAGATTATCAAAAATGGTCATCACTGATTTTTGAAATGTGTGTTTTCACATAGCTCTCAGCACAGTGCATGCAGTTTCACAATACTGTGAAAATCAAATAATAGATCCACGTTCTTGGGAAACTGTTGAAAGGCTGAGCCCGTATAAGCAGCGCAAGATGCTACTGCTGTGGGCTCCTGTCCCTCGCAGACTGTGAGCTCCTGCTGTGAATCTCACCAGCAGCCTCAGAGGAAATCGAGTCTTTCTGTCTTTGTTGTTTTCCATCTGTTTTTGAAATTACAGGTTTTTAGGGATTTTTGTTTTGTTGTTGCATTGCCCTAACACAGAACTGGCTCAAAACTAACAATTATTTTCTTGGTTTTTTTTTTTATTTATATTTTTATTCAAGTTTTGGAGCTAAATTTAGAAGCACAAACTTAGGCATAAAAAAAATGTAGCCCAAACAATGGTTCTTTTCTCAACAAAATGCAAACTTTGTTAAGGTAATGCTGTGTGTGTACGTGTGTATGTGTGTGGTGTGTGTGTGTGTGGCATGTGTGTAGGCATGGTGTAGTGCGTGTATGTGGTGTGTGTGGTGTGTGTGGTATGTGTGTGTTGTATGTGGTTGTGTGTGGTGTGTATGTGTTTATGTGCATGGTATGTAGGGGTGTGTATGGTGTGTGTGGTATGTTTGTGGTGTGTGTGTGTATATGTGTGGTGTGCATATGTGTGTGGGGAGTATGTGTGGTATGTGTGGTGTGGGTATGTGTGTGTGGTGTGTGTGTTTATGTGGTGTGTGTGGTATGTGTGTGTTGTGCATGTTGTGTGTATATGTGTATGGTGTGAGGGTGTGTGGTATGTGTGTGTGGTGTGTGTATGTGTGTGGTGTGTTTATGTGGTGTGCGTGGTGTTTGGGTGCGTGGTGTGTATGTGGTGTGTGGGGGTGTGTGAATATGTGTGTGTGTTTATGTGGTGTGTGGCATGGGTGTGTGTGTGGGTGTGTGTGCATGTGGTGTGTGTGTTTATGTGGTATGTGGTGTGTATGTGTGTGTGGTGTGTGTATTTATGTGGTGTGTGGGGTGTGTGTGGTGTATTTATGTGGTGTGTGGGGTGTGTGTGTGGAGTGTGTGTGGTGTGTGTGTTTATGTGGTATGTGGTGTGTATGTGTGTGTGGTGTGTGTATTTATGTGGTGTGTGGGGTGTGTGGTGTATTTATGTGGTGTGTGGCATGGGTGTGTGTGTGGGTGTGTGTGCATGTGGTGTGTGTGTGCATGTGGTATGTGCTGTGTATGTGTGTGTGGTGTGTGTATTTATGTGGTGTGTGGGGTGTGTGTGGTGTATTTATGTGGTGTGTGGGGTGTGTGTGTGGAGTGTGTGTGGTGTGTGTGTTTATGTGGTATGTGGTGTGTATGTGTGTGTGGTGTGTGTATTTATGTGGTGTGTGGGGTGTGTGTGTTTATGTGCATGGTATGTAGGGGTGTGTATGGTATGTGTGGTATGTGTGTGGTGTGTGTGTGTATATGTGTGGTGTGTATGTGTGTGGGGAGTATGTGTGGTATGTGTATGTGTGTGGTATGTGTGGTGTGTGTGTTTATGTGGTGTGTGTGGTATGTGTGTGTTGTGCATGTTGTGTGTATATGTGTATGGTGTGAGGGTGTGTGGTATGTGTGTGTGGTGTGTGTATGTGTGTGGTGTGTGTGGTGTGTTTATGTGGTATGTGTGTTTATGTGATGTGCATGGTGTTTGTGTGTGGTGTGTATGTGGTGTGTGGGGTGTGTGTATGTGTGTGGTGTGTGTTTTTATGTGGTGTGTTGCATGGGTGTGTGTGTGGGTGTGTGTGCGTCTGGTGTGTGTGTTTATGTGGTATGTGGTGTGAATGTGTGTGTGGTGTGTGTATGTAGTGTGGAGTGTGTGTGGTGTATTTATGTGGTGTGTGGGGTGTGTGTGTGTGGTGTGGCTATGTGGTGTGGGTGTGTGTGGAGTGTGTGTGTGGTGTGTGTGTTTATGTGGTATGTGGTGTATATGTGTGTATGGTGTGTGGGGTGTGTGTGTGGTGTGGGTGTGTGTGGAGTGTGTGTGTGGTGTGTGTGTTTATGTAGTATGTGGTGTGTATGTGTGTATGGTGTGTGTATTTATGTGGTGTGTGGGTTTGTGGGGGGGTGTGTGTGTGGAGTGTGTGTGTATGTGGTATGTGTGGAGTGTGTGTGGTGTGTGTGTTTATGTGGTATGTGGTGTGTGGGATGTGTGTGTGGTGTGGGTATGTGGTGTGAGTGTTTATGTGGTATGTGGGTTTGTGGGTGTGGGTGTGTGTGTGGAGTGTGTGTGTGGTGTGTGTGTTTATGTGGTATGTGGTGTGTATGTGTGTATGGTGTGTAGGGTGTGGGTGTGCGTGGAGTGTGTGGTGTGTGTGTTTATGTGGTATGTGGTGTGTATGTGTGTATGGTGTGTGTATTTATGTGCTGTGTGGGGTGTGTGTGTGTTTATGTGGTATGTGGGTTTGTGGTTGTGTGTGTGTGTGGAGTCTGTGTGTATGTGGTGTGTGTGGAGTGTGTGTGTGGTGTGTGTGTTTATGTGGTATGTAGTGTGTGTGTGGTGTTTGTGTGTGGTGTGGGTATGTGGTGTGAGTGTTTATGTGGTATGTGGGTTTGTGGGTGTGTGTGTGTGTGTGGAGTGTGTGTGTATGTGGTGTGTGTGGTGTGTGTGTTTATGTGGTATGTAGTGTGTGGGGGGTGTGTGTGTGTGGTGTGAGTATGTGGTGTGAGTGTTTATGTGGTATGTGGGTTTGTGGGTGTGGATGTGTGTGTGGAGTGTGTGTGTGGGTGGTGTGTGTGTGTGTGTGTATGTGTGTGTGTTGTTCTGGCTAGCGGGGGAACTAGAGGATTTTACTTACCTGCAGCATTCCTGCGGGTCTGCAGGTTTCAGGATCGATTCTTTTGTGTATAGTTTCTGCAGAGCACGTGAAATATTTATGTGTCTCATGGAGGGTTACAAAAAGAGGCCTTTGAGCACAGCCCCAGGCAGGGGAAGGCCCAATGAGTCCATGGCTTGCCATTGAAGGGTTTGTAGTAAGTGGCAGTTTGTGTCTGTGATTTGTGGAACACAGAAAACACCTCACTTAGCACCGCCCCACACCGGGACACCGCTTTGAGTCACCTTCTGATTGGTCTTCCTGCTTCTCCCACACCCCCGTCTGCTGGTCTGCACAGCGCAGCCATGGTGATCTCTGACAGGTAAATCAGGTCACATCTCTGTCTGCTCCTACCACGATATCATAGTGACGGAGGCTCACTCCCTGCAGAGAGCAGGCCATGGGACCTGATCCCACACTCCACACCCCACTCTGCCCAACCACGATGACCTTCCTGTGTAACTCAGGCCTGCCGAGCCCCTTCCAAATTCAGGGCCTTTGAACTCATGGTGTCCTCTCCCCCCGCAGAACATCCACACCTACAGGAAAACACACGTGCCTTTCTTAGTAGAAAGGGAGGAAATCGCTGAAAATGTAGGTGGCTTTGTTTGTAGGCCAACTGAAAGCATCCCCGAGTTCCTTTCCATGCATTCGTAAATTGTTCCCCCCAAATGTTGAGATACGGTCACGTGTTGAGAGCGACGGTGGAGGAGCGGGTTTGAGGGAGTGTGGTCTGGAGACAGAATACACGGCTGGTCTCAGCAGGCCGGGCACAGCCCCGTGGATGGATGTGCAGGAAATAGGGTTCTTGGAGGAGGAGGCTGCTTGCTGTCCCCCACGAGTATTCAGCGCCCACGGCCTGCACGGAGTCCCTGGTGGTTGTCCCCTGGGGCTAGGAATTTGGCAAGTAAGAGAGATCGGGTATTTTCCGAGGAGTGGTGATTGCCACAGGCCTCAGAAACACTGGGTCTGGGAAGAGTGAAGCCAGGAAGAGCGAAGCCAGGAAGAGCCAGAGGAAGAAAATGGTGGAGTTGATGTTAGCAGTGTTGAGTTGGGTCGGCAGTACAAGGTGGTGGGGTAACTTGTGCAAAGGCAGTAGAAGCACGGAGTGGGGATGTGAGAAGGTAAGTGCAGCTAGGTCCTTGTGATGATGGGATTCGTAGGAGAAATGGAAAGACGAACGACAGTTTGAACAAAGCATGGTTTGGGAAGGATGACCCGGAAGACACTCGGTGGTGCTGTAGGAGAGGGGCAGAGAGCCTTAGAGGCCCCAGGGATTCACAGGGGGAGGAGGAGGGAAGAGTCGGTGAAGGTCATGGGGAAGGACTGCTGTCCATCTTCCACCCTTCCATGAGAGGGTGGGGTTAGAAAGAATCCGCATCGAAGAGAGGAAGCCGAGACCCCGGAGAGCAAGGCCTGTGTGCAGGCAGGAGCTGGAATGGCACAAACTCCAGGAGAGACTCAGGTGCACAAGCAGCTGCTGATCAAAGGCAGATGTTTCCGGGGACACCGTGGAGGTTTAGACAGCAAGGGGCAGGTCAAGGATTGGGTCCTCCAAAGCCCGTGGAGTGTCTGTGAAGAGCGAGGCTGCTCTTCGTAGTAATAATGAGTGCTGAAGACCACCTGCCAGCTTGCAGAGGGGATCTGACTCTTCTCCCTGACCCAGCGAGATGCGTATAAATGGTAAGAAAAGAAGTGAAGAAATGTAAATGAAGAGAGAGTGGGTTTGCTGAGTGAGATGTGAGACAGAGAACACGCCATTGCTCTCATTATGAAAGGCCGTCGTTGTAATGCAGCGAGGTGAGAGTGACTCGGGTTCTTCTGGAAGGATTGGTTCTTCAGTTCCAACGACGTGGCTGGCCATTGTCGTGGGGGAGCTCATTAGTGGCAATTATTTTCAGAGACTGGAAACCGATTAGTATGGACTCAGCCACTGGGGCCTTCTGAACAACGATCGGGCACAGAGACTTTTAGTGTGGCTCATTATCTCAACCGCATGGTTAGAGCATTTGTGAAAAACTGTACAGATTAATCATTGTTGTACATTAGGACCAATTCTATTTGAGATTTAGGGCTCCTAGTGCTGTGGAAAAAAATAATTTCACAAAATGTTAACGTAAGACGCCGGCCAGAGCATTACCAGTAATATCACACGCTTTGCCATTTTAGCACAAGGTTAAAATTAGAAAACCATTTCTAGGAACATGTTAGGACAAGCATTTGCTTGTCTTCTACACAACTAAAATCATTATTTTTGCGATGGCAAATAGACTTTCCAGAATGTCATTTTCAAAAGTTTACCGTGTTCCGCTTCTCTCCTGGTGTTTTTCACGGTAAGGCAGCTCATCGGTGCCCAGCCTCGTGACGCTCTCCGTGCGCAGCATAGCAAGTGCCTGGGAATTTTGTAACTTTCTCAATCGGTTTTCATTTTCTAATGCTCTTTTTTCCACCGTATCAGGTTGCTTTAGTCTTGAGAGCTTATGAGAGCAGAAAGCCTGATCATTGAGAGAGCCTCGGGTACCGCCCTGGCAGGCTGTGAGCAGGAGTGAGCAGGGGCTGGCAGGCTTGGCAGGCTTCGGGGAGGCATCTGCTGTGACGGTGCTCTGGGCCAACTCCATAACCACAGTTTTTGATTCTGTATAAATTAATGAGCACAAGTGATGAGTTGCTTGAACAGTTCCTAAATTGGGTGCCACCTTGGGTCTCTCAGTGACTTGCCTCTACTGGACGGTGGTGCCAATTTAGCAGATGCCAGAGTGTCTGGGTTTGTTTGATTTCCCTTGAGTGTGTGTGCCTGTCTGTGAGGGTAGGTGTGCGTATGTGTGCCCAAAAGGAGTAAGTAGTGAGAACTTTCTCACTAAAAGTGGGAGATGAAGAGGAGGAGGAACATGCAGGATTACTCTTCTAACATCATTGCAATCTGCTGTGTAATTAAGAAATCATAAACTGAAAACATAGTCATTCTTTTTAGTAGAAGGAGCATAACAATGGCTAGGTATCACTCCATAATCTAGCTCTCCACCTGAGCCACATGTGCAGAGCGTCCAGAGGATCTAAATTCTTTCTGGCTGCCATGAGAGCTGCCAGAGATAACCAATCATCCAAAGAAGGAAAATCTGCCAGGGACAGTGGCTCACGCCTGTAATCCCAACACTTTGGGAGGCAGAGGTGGACGGATCACCTGAGGTCAGGAGTTCAAGGCCAGCCTGGTCAACATGGTGAAACCCTATCTCTACTAAAAAATACAAAAATTAGCCAGGTGTGGTGGTGTGAATGCCTATAACCCCAGCTGCTTAGTAGGCTGAGATAGGAGAATCACTTGAACTTAGGAGGCAGAGGTCACAGTGAGCTGAGATCGTGCCATTACACTCCAGCCTGGGCAACAAGAGTGAAACTCCGTCTCAAAAAAAAAAAATTATATTTTCTTATTTTGGAATGAAGAAATATGCAGGTATGGAAATTTATGAGCAGATTTGGTCAATAGCTTTGATTAAATGATTTCTTCGAGATAAGAATTAGTGAAATCAACCAATTTTTAAATTACAAAATATTACAATGATCAGTTTAAACTTTGCCCCTGCCCTGAATGAATTAATTGTTTTGACAACAGTGGAGCCCACAGGCCATTCTTAGAAGCCAGGTAAAAGCCTGCATTGGCAAGCTTGTGCCTCAAGTTGGGGTTAGAGTTGTCCTGAGTCACATGCCAGCCATATCCTCTGCTGACTCCCATGAGGACCCCAAAGGGCAGGAGTGACAGGGAGGAGCAAGGCCAGATGGGGGACAGGGAGATGGACTGGCAGATACCTAGCTCCTCACTCTGAATGGTTTCCCTCTATCCATTCCCTCTGAACAGTTTCTGAACTGTGGAACTCTCCCCTTCCCCTCCTCCTTGCATTGATGGGGAGGAGAACCAGGCAGAGAAGTGGTAGAGAGGGCAGGTTGTCCACGTGACCTTAAGTATACTTGGGGCAAAAGCAGGCTAACTGTGCACACCCTGGAACAAAATCGTTAGAAGAGAGAGCACTTTGCCCCAAACGAGTGCCATTTTCAGACACTACATCTCCCAAATTAGCCGTGTCCTTGTTTCCCGGGCAGGCTGAGTTTCCTGCGCATTGGAGGGGGTCGGATTTAGCAGTGGATAAATCCTCCTCTTACTAGTATAATCTTACTAGTTAAGATTCCAAAATCAAGTGAGTATGTCTGACGATCTGCCTCTCCCTCCCCGTTACACACACACACACACTCTCTCTCTCTCTCTCTCTCTCTGTTCATTCATTGCTCTTCTTATATTTCCTCCCTACCTCCCTAACTTTGATCATTGACAAATTTTTCTTTCGTAAGAAAAGACTTGAGGCAGTGTGCTTGGGCGAAACTCCCTTCCCTGTGATCCATCCATGTCTTTGTGAATAATGAATGGTGCCCTGTTCACTCGTTAGTAATTACAACGGGCAAAGACGTGGCCTGAGACTGCCCCGTTCCCCATTCTGTAATGGCTTCTCAAGGCCTGTCTTCCCCCCAGGGCTGCCATGAGAGCCTGGGGACTCCGTGGGAATCAGGCTGCCTCTTGAGTCTTCATGTTGTGCATATGATGTCAGGGTTAGAAACCGACATTTGACAAAAGCTGAGGTCCAAGGTCCCAAAAATGTGTGTGAGTTCTAGTTGTCCTAAGATGTGAGAGGACAGAGGGCTTGAGTCAGTGAAGCCTGATGGAGAAGAAAGCCTGGAGGAGAGGAGGATCGGGGGAAGAAGAGAGGAAGGGGGAGAACCCTCCCGGTGCCATCACTGCAGGACGGAGGGTGGGAAACGCCGGCGGGGGACAGAGCACGGAGCATCAGAGAGGAGCTGAAAGTGCTCAGTTATCAAAAGAAGGCAGAAGAAAGGCAAGCAGCAAAGAGGAGAGAAAAGACAACATAAAAATTTAGACATGGGTCCCTTTTGCCGATAGAAGCCTTCCCAGTGCCTATGGCAGCCACCTTCCCTGTGTGACCTTAGATCCAAATTAGAAACAGCCTCTGTTCTCTCTGCTCCCAAATGTTTCTTCTGCTTGCCCTGCACTCCTTTCTTGGAAGTTTTTTTTAAGTATATAGGGGCCCAGGTTGGCCAGGGCAGGGGGTTAGGGAAGCAAAGGAACCAGAAACCTGTGTCCGCTGAATTTCAGAGCAGAAATAAGGGACTCTGCAGAAAAAAGCACGACGGAGAGCCCTGGATACAAGCGAGGGTATGGGAGAGAGAGCTGAGAAGGCGGAGGTCAGTTCTGTTTGATCGCGCACTTGGGGAAGGCGGAAGGAGAAGGGGCCTGAAGAGAGGGAACTGACTGGCAGAGGACAATCATGCTGGGAAGAGGAGAGAAGGGATGGGAAGGAGTGGGGAAAGAGCCTGGATGGACCAGGGAACCTGCCTGCCATCCTGCCAGCTTCCTTCCACACACCCTGATGCACCTGAGACTGCCCTGGCATGTCGGCAACTTCAGAGCAGGGGAAGGAGGAGAATGCGGGCTTCACAGGAGGAGAAGCGAGGAGGAGCCAGGGACCTGGGTGCCTCATGGATTCTCAATGCTGCCCACAGGATCTGACCTGGGGGATGAGAGCTCATTAGCTCCAACTTGAGTTGACAACAAAGAGCTTCTGGGGTCTTTTAGGCCCCGTTGAAACAGGCAGATCTTCTCCACAGTCATGTATAACGCAGGGAAGAGAACAGCAGTGTCCCTGCAGGTGCAGAGACTTCTGGCCTAAGACAGCAGAATAATCGTTCCTGGAGTGGGAGGGTTGGCTTGATAACTGCCATGAGCAGCATCTCATTTCACACTCGCTCATGTCCCCAGAATGTCCCTTGGTTACCAAAAAGGCCCTGTTCTCCTTCTACCTGCCCTCTCCTGATGTTAGCAACGAGGATTTTAGACGGTTGTCCCTGCATCCCCACGTGTCACCCAGAGGCAGCTTTAGGCCGCCTGTCTGGGCTGCCCTTCGCATCACTGGGAGTCGACCCCAGGTGCCTACCATAGCCCCCTTGTCCTCAAGGGCAGCTGCCCCCTCTGTGCCCTGTTAACTGTGAACAAATGCATATTTAGAGACATATTCTGCCACTTCCCAAAGGGACCAGCCACCACCTGCATTCCTCGTCCTGGTTGAGTCTGAGTGCTTGCTCTGGGAATCAAAGGTTTCACTGAGTGCAGACGGAGTGATGCCTGGCAAAGCCTGGAAATGGAAAGGCAGCTGAAGGGGTTTTGTAGAGATGGGGAAATATGCTGGTCAGCAGTGTGGACGTCCGAGGATAATGACTTGTTTACAACATCCCTGTGAACGAAGAACACATGGGGACAGAAATAAGCTACTCTCCAAGAGTCTTGTGATGGGCTCCATTTATCTGACCCGTTGGGTTTCTAGAAGAGGACAGAATGCTGCTCTGGTTCTCCTCCCTGGACAGCAGAGCTGGTGAACAGGAAACAGATCACGGGGCTGAGTGGCTGGAGGAGCGAGGATGCCCCTCACATCGCCAGCTTCCCACACGGTCCTTTCCTCCGGAAACTGGCTTTGGGAGATTGCATGGTTTCTGCAGTGCCAGGGTTGGAGGGCTTTGGTTCCACGTATTTCTCTCTGTAAGGCACCTGCTCTTGACAGGGGCTCTGTAGCCCCTGAGCCCACTGACAACTGTACTTGGCCCCCCACGCAGCAGACTCTTACCCATCTCAGCAGCAGTCTTCTTGCCCTGGAATTCCTGCTGCCTGTTTTAGGCTGCCTGGGCTGTCATAACAAAATTCCACAGACCGGGCAGCTTAAACAACAGACACGTGTATCTCAGAATTCTGGAGGCTGGAAGTCCAAGGTCAGGGTGCTGGCAGGTTTGTTTCTGGTGAGGTCTCACCTCCTGGATAATTTTGGGTGACACAAACATTCAGTCCAGATGCCAACCTCCTCAGGCCACCTGTGGCTTGGCCTGTGGCAGAATTTGAGGCCGCTCACCCCTCCCTCTTCCTCAGTCCTTGGTTCCACAGGCCCTGGCTGCCCTCTGGCTGCCTCCTGGCCAGTTAGGAGCTCCTCTGGTGCTCAGACCTGATTGGATTTCCTGGTCCTACCCGAGTTCACCTTATCTTCTCATGAACACTTTCCCTGGACAGTTTAACCTACCACAGAAACTACTGCATCGGCCACTGTCACCCAGAGCACAAAACACTGAGCGGCCGCAGAAGCCCCCCCAGCAAGGCTGCCGACTCAGGAAGAAGCGCACGTCCCAGTCAATCGGAAGACTCCTCCATCAGGCTTGCGATTGCCTGAAGGTGGCCTGGCACATGGCTGATCCACCATAGACGCTCGGAAATATCCAACTCATCACAAAATGGACCGCCCCCCCCCACCCCTGTGTGGTATCCTGGCCACTTCCAGGCTGTGGGTGTTTCTGTGAAGGGAGGGTTTGCCACGTCACTCAGGCCGCCCATCCTGGCCATGAGCAGCCGCAGCTTCCAGGATTTTACCTTGTTCAGTGCATTTCTGTGAAGCTGTGCATGTAAGAGGTCTGTTCTGTGGAAATATTTTCCAGAACGTTTCATGCTAAGGAGGCCTTTAATGTTGTAAATATTTAAACATGCTTTGCAGCCGATTGCTACAATGGCTCAGCTCACAAAGCATGCACAAAGCCTGCCTCTAGTGGATGGTCCTGTGCTATATTCATCAGCCTCTCTTTTTTATTTTATTGCATTTTAGGTTTTGGGGTACATGTGAAGAACATGAAAGATAGTTGCCTAGGTACACACGTGGCAGTGTGATTTGCTGCCTTCCCCATCAGCCTCTCTTAAACGTCTTCCCAATTTCAGTTTAAACGCGTATATTTATGTAACATATACAATTAACTCTTAAAAAACTTGTACGGCTACTTTTTGTTGTGCAGTTCTATGAGCTTTAAGACCTGGATAGATTGTGTGACCCTCATCATAAATTGGAATACGGAGCAGCCCCATCATCCCCCAAAATCCCTCTCACTCTGCTTCCTTGAGAGCAAGCTGTCCCTCTGTCCCAGCCTCTGGCAGCCACAGACCTGTCTTCAGTCTCTGTAGTTTGGCCTTTTCTAGAACTTCATAGAAATGGCATCAAGCAGTACGTAAAGATTAGCTTCAAAGTGGAGAATATTGTTTACGTCCAAATATAGAGAAAACTGTAGACTCCTGTGGCATTTTAATGCCCGCGCAGTCTTGGTGGTTAGGGTAATTTTGCTCTGAGAACTTTCTTGCTGTTGTGGTGAAATATGCAATACTAGGATAGACTGTAGAAGATGCGCTTACTGAATTCTCACCCTCATTGTTAAAAACCCAGCAGACTTTAATTACTGCGTCCCCTCTGTACAGGATCAAAGTGCCCACCCTCAGAAAGTCTGATGAGACAGAGAAGAATGACTCACAAGGGTCAGGAAACACAGGCTGAGCGGGGGTGTCCCGGCCTGAAGCCCGTGGGCACTGCCATTGGCCCTGGGCAGCCTTGGGGCTTCCTGTGCTATTCCTTGGCCTCTCTTAAGGGTCTTCCGAATTTCAATTTTAAAACGTATCTGCACATAACATATAAAAGGTGTGGAACCCCCGCGCAGGTACAAACTCCACACATGCTCAAGTGCCTTATGTAAAATAGTGTAGTATTTCCCCATAATCCTAGAACACATCCTTCCATGTACTTTACGTCTTCTCTAGATTACCTTTAATATCAAACGCAATGTCAGTGCTATATAAAAAGCTGCTATACTGTATTGCTCGGGAAATAATGACAGGAAAAAATCTGTGCGTGTTCAGTACAGATGCGCCATCCTCTCCTTCCCAAATATTTGTGATCCTCAGTTGGTTGAACTCCTGGATGCAGATCCCACACTACTGAGGGCTGACTGTAATTCCGAAGGAGGGGGCTTTGGGGTAGAGCCTACAGGAAACTGGAGGGGGCACTGGGGACTCCGAGGTGAAAATGTCAGTTGTGAGCATGGGAGAAAAGAGAGGAAGGCAGGAGAAGGCACTTCAGATGGAAGAACCCCCTGAGTGCGGGCCAGAGGTGGGACGGGCACAGCGAGGGCAGGAGGAGGAGGAGAGCGTCCACCTGGAGCCGACAGTATGTGCAGTGGAGGGGCAAGCAGGCAGCCCAAGGTGGGGCTAAAGTGTTAGGGGTTGACCCCTGCTGCCCCCATCTTGGAGGGAGCTGAATGGTTCCTGAGTGGAAGGCGATGCCAGGTGATAGGGTGAGGTGCCTTGTTGAGACCAGGCACCGTGGTTCATGCCTGCAATCCCAGCACTTCGGGAGGCTGAGGCAGGAGGATCATTTGACCTAAAATAATTGTTCTGTTGAACTTCTCGCCTTGAGACAGAGGAGTTTTCCCAGGAGGGCCATTCCCTACCTGCTGGCGTCAGCCTCCATCACCTTCCCTGATGCCTGCTAGACACTTGCTTGTCCAGTCTCACGGTTCCAGGAGCTGTGTGTTACGGTTTTGGCCCCACAGACAGAGGGAGAAGTTTGCCGGAGGACCTGTGGGCATCTTTGGCTCTCTCGCAAGAGGGACACAGTGTTGGCCCCTCTCTTCCCCACTGTCCTTGCCTTCATGAAGCTGTGCTGCCCAGGCTGTCTGGGCAGGACACAGAGCGCAGGCCCTTGATGGTGCCATCTGTGTGTTGCTCTTGATCCCTGTTCTCTAGATTTGCTAAGCCAGAAAACTTAGCCCTATTTGTCTAAGCAGCTGACCATCGGGTTTTCCGTTACTTGCCACTAGATGAGTCCCGAGTGGCTTTGCTCGTGCTGTTTCCTCCACCTGGATCTCCTTCTCAACCTTGTGCCCCTGGTGATCTCTTCCATCCAGAAACTTAACTTCCGTCTAAGCAAGCACTTCCCCAGATACCCCACGCATCAAACGCAATGGTTGCTTACAGGGCTGTGTCCCTTGTCATAGAGCTGTGAGCCCCTCACATGTGGGAGCTGTTCCTTACTTCTCTTTGCACCTGGAAGGTCATAAATGATCAGCAACCAGTTGTTGAATAAATGAGAGAACAAATGAAATCCATAGAAACAAGCAAGGGAAAAATGGGACACGATTTCATCAATTCTTCACAGCCTTTATTCCATCACAAGAGGACGTACAGGATTGTTTAGGATCTTGAGTCTAACACACCGAGAGGTGCTTTTGTTGTATTTATTTTCAAAGCTTCACCATTAATCCCTGTGGGGTCAGTGAGCACACGTGAGCACCACAGTCAGTCCTGCTGTGTTTAGGTGGACTCTGACCAGAGGCTGTAAGCTATCAGCTCACTCCATCTTGTCTGACCGATGCCTTGGGTGGCTGCTTTGCTCCTAACTTGAGCTGAATTGGATGATCTGCCCAGAAACTTGGAACCTTACCCCTCCCCCACCATTCCCACTGTCCCTGCCTTGATTCGGACTCCTCTCTTCCTGCTGGGACCCATGCTGCAGCTTCCCACCTGCCCTTCCCTCCTGCATGTCCCACAAGCCTGCAGCTGAGAATGGTTCTGAGCAAGACATGGCTTCATGCAAAATATTGCACCTCTGCTTAAAGACAATGAGAACACTGCCTGTTGATTTTCGTTTCTCCATCCCCAACTTCCCATGCCCCAAAATAGCATCCTGGGACCATAGAAATGGAATAGACCTTTCTTTTTTTTATTTTTTTTTTTTTGAGTTGGAGATGGAGGCTCACTCTGTCACCCAGGCTGGAGTGCAGTGGTACAATCTCGGCTCACAGCAATCTCAGCCTCCCGGATTCAAACGATTCTTCTGCCTCAGCCTCCTGAGTAGCTGGAACTACAGGCATGCGCCACCGCACCTGGCTAATTTTTATATTTTTAGTAGAGATGAGGTTTCACCATCTTGGCCAGGCCAGTCTCAAACTCCTGACCTCACTATCTGCCCACCTTGGCCTCCCAAAGTGCTGGGATTACAGGCATGAGCCACCATGCCCAGCCTGGAATAGACCTTTCTAAGATGACTCTGCCCATCTCCCACTTTACACATGAGGAAAGTGAAGTCCAGGAAGTTGACGTTGCCTCATTCTAAATCATGTGACTCATTAGCAGTAAGTCCAGCCTGTAGCCCAGCTTGTCACTAGGGCCGTTTTCTTCATTACGTCACCGTGTCTCTTCCTCTTCACTGCCTGCATGACTGTGTCTCGGCAGTCGGTGGATACAGCACAACGGTGCCAGCTTGCCGTGTATTACGAGGGGTATCTGTTTCAGATATTCCATGGGGACACTGGCTGGAGGCTTGCAGCAGAGTCCCAGGAGGCAGGACTGCCATTAGCACTGGGCTTCGCAGACATGCACCTGCAGCCCTCAGGCAGCACCGTCAATTGTCAGGCGAGTGTGGCAGGCGTCAGGCATCACATCTGCTCACCCTGGTGATAATGCACAGCAGCTACCAGCAGGTCTCAGGCCGCAGAGCCACCGAGCAAGCCTTGCAGCCCCTGCTGCCAGCACGGGCTTGCTCCTTCAACACCGCTGGGGACAGGCACGCTGTCATCAGGCCCAAGAAATACTGCCTTCTCCATCCTGTCCCTGGTCACTGGGTGCCCGCAGAGTGTCCCCACCGAGGAGGGAGGGCCTGGTTCAAATGGCCTATACTCAGAGATGCGGCAGTGGACCACTTGAATATTTAACTCGTAATCATGGGAAGGAGTCTGGTTCTCCTGGATTCCTTCACGATTCTGCTGAGTGACAGTGTGATGTTGGGAGACTGTATCTTGAGAATATCATACACTCTTGAGGTCTCCAGGAGCCTCCAATTAAACTGTTTTCCTGGCTCCTACAGTGACAAGTAACCCTTATCCTGGGTTCCTCATTACTGAGACTTCTTGCCTTTTTCGTCAGCTTATGATTTATTCTAGGACTTCCTCCAATAGCTTATACTTCACTGTCTACCTCAGTCTCAGGACGCTTTAAAAATGTTCAGCTAAATAAAAGAGGTAGTTTTCCCTGGAAACCAAAAATCCACGGGCCTCACTGAATTAATAATTTATGTACTTCTTAAAAAAGGTTTTATTAATTAAATCAAATTTTCATTGCAATTTTAAAATAATCTTGTGGTCTTCCCCCATGTGGCTGACATTAACACTCACCCTTATTGTCCTGGGAGTTCTGATGTTCAGTTACCTGCTAGCTTGGTGGATAAACATTTTATTAATGAGCAGGAGGCTTGTTAAAGTGTGATAAATTAGGCTTTTCTTTCAAGGCAATTGATCAGTGGAAAAACAGAATCTGGATGCTAAAATCTGTGCCCAGGTGGACTAATTTACCCCGTTTCCTTGAGCCGTCAGCTGAGTGTGTGTTCCTGGGTTTGTTGGCTGCATTTGCCTAATTTTTGTCTTGTGATTTCATTGATTGGTGGAGTCGAGAGGGTGTGCTGACAACTTCTGCTCTTGTTGGAAATATTATTTAGAAACCCTGACCATGCCCTGCATTACTTATGCTTGTGAGGAGTACTAATCAAATGCCATGTGAGCAGGTGCCTGCCAAGGCTGCCCTACTCGACATTCCTCAGCATGAATGTATGCTTCTTCATGTGCTGATTTTAACATCAGATTTCGTTCACGGTAGCATCGAATTTGGGAATTGAAGGAATATTGACATGTACCTGGTCAGTGTCCATCACTCCATCTCAGGAGCAAGTGTTCCTTGCTCTCATGACTTTGCTCTGGTGATACAGAATTCATGTTTGTAGAACACCCTCTCCCCAGACTGGACAGTTCTGGCTTTTAAAAAGTTCTTCATTAGCTGATATAAGTCCGCTTTTCAAAACTTCCCATCTGCTGAATCTCATTCCACCTTTTACATAGCAGTGCCTGCAGTATGCTCGTAGCATGGGCCATACTCACACTTAATAAAACGAGTGCATTCTCAGCATTGTTATGTTTGCATTAGAAAGAGAAGAACTAGGCTTAACAAATATGCCTTTATTTACTAATAAGGTAGATACCATTTTTTTTTTTTGAGACGAAGTTTCACTCTTGTTGCCCAGGCTGGAGTGCTGTGGTGTGATCTCGGCTCACTATAACCTCCACCTCCTAGGTTCGAGTGATTCTCCTGCCTCAGCCTCCTGCGTAGCTGGGATTACAGGCATGTGCCACCACGCCTGGCTAATTTTGTATTTTTAGTTGAGACAGGGTTTCTCCATGTTAGTCAGGCTGGTCTTGAACTTCCGACTTCAAGTGATCTGCCCACTTCGGCCTCCCAAAGTACTGGGAGAGACGGGTTTCTTTAGGAGAGACAAGATTTCTCCATTTTGGTCAGGTTGCTCTCGAACTCCCAACCTCGGATGAGCTGCCCACCTTGGCCTCCCAAAGTGCTGGGATTACAGACGAGAGCCACCACATCCAGACAATACTATTTTTTACTCAAACCAAAAAAGTCCATTCTGCAAGTAAGTGATTATTGACTATCCACTGTATCCCAGGTCATAATGATGGCCTTGACAAGGGACAAGATGGCCACAGTCAGTGTCACCCACTGGACGACAGTGATGGGGGTGGTGAACCAAGCAGTGTGGAGCCAGTGTGCTGGGAGGCAGCAGTGAGGGAAGCAAGCTTAGCCTAGAGAGCAAAATCAACCTGTGATGAGTTGTGCCTTCCTTTAAGCATCGTGGCATTCGTTGTTGGCATTGAGGTTATAGATCAGTGGTGCAAAGATGGGACCACAAGGGCCATTGGAGAAGAAGGAAGAGAAGTCCATGACTAGAAACTGGAAGGACGGCCACACGGTCCCCCTCTGATTCTTTAATTCGCCACAGCATATGCCCACAGTGAGTTCTTAAATTGCAGAGGGCTTTTAGTACCAGAAATGAGCTCTTGCTAGAGATTTAAGATGTAGTCAAATCATGGGGTTAGCCCTAATGATGGCAACCGATGGTGATGATGAGAGTTGTGATGCGGCTGGGGATCATGAGAAGGATGACGAAGATGAAGAAGAAGACAGCAGTAGCAAGGACAGTGGTGAAAGCCTGCTAATTATGGTGCTGACGAGGCCAGAGATAATTACGGTAGTGATAATGATAATAATCCCAGGAGGACTTACTGTCATTATTTCTCAGTGGCTTCTCTTTGGGAAGAGAGTGAGATATTTAAAAGTCTGAAAGGAGACAGGAACAGGGGGCGTGCAGCTCCTCAGATCTGTGGGTCCCGCCCAGCTGCACACTGGGAGCGAAAGTATCAAGATTAAGGGCTATGCTGTTTCAGCTGCATTTCCACTGTCTAAATATAAACAGCCTCAGGCCCTGATCCAGCAGAGGAGACCACAGCTGCCAAATGCATCGCCAGCTGCAGGCCCTGGCTGGGCTTATTTAGAGGGAAAGGCCGTCCTGCCATGGACAGATTCCAAAAGGCATGAGCCTGTGAATAGAATTTGAGGTTCAAGGAATGCTAGACCATGTCTCTGTGCTCAGGGTCACGGAGCGAGTCCGAAGGGAGCAGGATGAGGACATGGGTGCCCTGCCTCCAGGAGCTGTGCTCTCTGCTGGTGCAGACAAGGGCCTGGTGAGACAGTAGACCAGCGGTGGCTACTGCAGTGGTGCCACCTGCATAGGAAGACAAGACTCTGGTGGGGATGGGCAGGGGCCAGGCTCCCTGTGCTCTTGCAGGCACCCAGCTCCAGTGGCCCCTCAGTCCCAGCTACTGATGGACTTTGACATCTGATGAAAGGATCTGCTGTTATCCCACCTGTGGGTTAATGGTGCCATCATCAGTGCCAGATAAGCCATGACTAGTACCCTTATTCATTCTGGCTTAAGACTCTGCTTGTTTTGACTCAGGGAGAGAGAGAAATGGAAGAAGAAGAAGAAAAAGATGCATTTAAAACCTATTACCAAACTAACACAGTGAACACATGAGCTGTCAGCCTTTTGATTCCCTCCTGATCCTCGCCAGTACGTGTTCATTTATCCAGCGCTGGCTCACTCAGCCCTGAACATGCACCAGGCACTCTTACAGGCACAGGGAATCCTGCGGTGGACAGAACCGAGGAAGCCCCTGTGCTCACGGATCTTACATACTGCTGGAAAGACCGCCCACACATAAATGTGTTTATCACGTCACGCAGGACACCTGCTCTACAGGAAAGTGACGTAAGGAAAAGGACAGGGAGCAAAGGGGAGTGTCTGGGGGAGGACAGCACGGACGGCCTTTCAAGGAAGTCACATGGAAGCAGCGGCCCAGCAGACGCAGGACAAGGTCCTGTGATCCGAGGAGGGGTCTCAGGGCAGCGGGACAGCGAGCAGGCCAGCGTGGCCACAGTGCATGGTGTCCAGGATGAGCAAACGGAATGATGTTTGAACATGTCATCCGGGAAACTGCACACAGAGCCAGGCTCACAGCCGCTTTTCCCCAGCCCATCTTAATTCCTCTGTTACCAAAGCACCCTCAGTACGGTCTCACAAACTGAGTGACAGAGGACGGCAAACACAGCTGACACCCCCGATTGGCAGGCTGGCTGAAGGGTGTTGAAGGAAAGGCAGAAATACCTGGTAATCCTTGCAGGCGTCACCCAGGCTGCAGGCTGGAGCCGTCGCGGGACAAGCAGGAGGCTGGAACAGAGCTGGCATGGGAAGGAGTGCACATGCCATCAGCTTTCCAGGGCTCACGTTTATTGTGTCATGTCAGCAGCAGGCTAGCACCTGACAGGTGTTACAGATACTGCAAATTAATCACATTCTCATACCAATGGTCGCATTTACATCAGCACAAATGTAGTTTACCGCACTCTGAGAATCAGGGATTAGTAGCTCCGGTCCAGCTAGATTCTTATTTCCTTGGCAGTAGGAAGACAGAACAGCACACATCTTGATAGATTAATCATACATTTTGCATTGTTAATAATTCCGAGGCCAGGGAAACTACCTTCCTAGGATCACAGAACTGACTTTCTTTTCTATGGATCTTTGAAAAACCAGACAGATGGGATTTTACCTGAAGAGTTATATTGTGCTCATATGATGTGCTGTTGAAATTATGACTTGGTCTCACTTAGATGCTGGACTAGTGATTACCAACTCTAGCAAGCTCTTTATTGAGAATCTTAGGGCATGCACAATTGAAAAAAACAAAAAAAAAGTCAGCCAGGCATGGTAGCTTACTCCTGTAATCCCAGCACTTTGGGAGGCCAGGGTGGGTGCATCACAAGATCAGGAGTTCGAGACCAGCCTGGACAACATGGTGAAACCCCATCTTTACTAATAATACAAAAAATTAGCCAGGCATGCTGGCAGGCGCCTATAACCCCAGCTACTGGGGATGCTGAAGCAGGAGAATCTCTTGAACCTGGGAGGCAGAGGTTGCAGTGAGTCAACCACAGCATTCTAGCCTGGGCAACAGAACAAGACTCTGTTTCAAAAAAAAAAAAAAAAAAAAGTCATATGTCATCTCTTTTTGAGAGGTTGCCACCAATATGTGTCTAAATATGACGAAAAAAGATGCATCATGTGCTGAGAAGAATGGGCTTCAGCCTCAGATCCCCAGTCTTTCTGCCAGCTCTGGAGCAGGGGGAGCTCCTGGCTGCATCTGAGGAGTCAGTCCCCGGAACCTGGGCCCTTTCCTCTGTTCTAGGCACTGTGGGGAGCTCAAACAAAAGAGGAACAAACTTCCTGCTGCTCAGAGACCCAAGTCATACTCACCAATGATTAAGCTAGTGAAGTGGATGGCATTTTCACAGCTAGGTCATGTAATACAATTATATATTGTCATCGTAAAGCTTTTGAGAGCAATTTAATAGTTAATAACATCCTAATGATATGATATGAATAATCTGTGCTCTGAAAGCAGCCTATATATAGGCAGAAGAACCGTGAGGAGCTCTCGAAGAAAATGTGCCATATATTCAGGCACCTGGGGAGCGATTTTAGAAATCCTGACCTTCCAAGGCAATTGATTTTGATTGTTCTTTAAAGGATCGCTCTAGGAGTCCAGTTATTCCCAGGGGTTCCCTGGGCTAGATGACGCCCGCGGAGGATCTTCTAATCTTACATTATCAGAAAGGATGGCTAAGTGGATGATGGATGGACATTTTCATGTTGTAAAAACACACCACCAGAAGTCAGCCATTCCCGTTAATGCCCACATGTTAATGCTATTTCCAAAACCGCGTGGCAGCTCACAGGTGTAGGGGTTGGGGCCTGTATTCCTTGCTAGACTCGAGTTTCTTGAAGGTAGGGAATGTCTTATTCATTACTGTAGCCTCAGTTTCTTGCCCCATTGTGCAAGCTAAATAACGAATGCATGAATGATGAATAAAAGAAAGTTAAAGTTCCCTTAGATAGCAATAATTGTCCTTTTCACCCAGGTCATCTGCAGCCAGGTACTGTTTGGGATATTGAATTCCTACAGTGTTTGTTGCCTCTCTGATTCTTTGCCATCTAATCATGTCTACTCTTGCGTTTTTATTTAACCACCTGATTCCTGCCTTGAAGCACTTTGAAGTATCCTAAAGGGACACGATGTCCTGTCTTGCTTCCCCTCTGCTCTTGGCACACACCACCCACCACAACATTGAACTGATAGTAAATGATCAAGGGTGAGTTTTGGGCTCATGCAGTTGGAGGAAATGGCTCTGTGACTTTCAGACAGAATTCTAGGTCTGACCTAGACCAGCTCCAGACCCTACCTGGACGTCAGCCCTTCCCTGTCTCTAGAACAGAGACACAGTGCCCTGTGGATTGTTCTGACCTGACTCCCAGACCCAGGCCAGGGGGCAGGGGGTGTGTATAAGGGCATTTGTATTTTGATGGACTTTGTGGGTTTTGTAAACCCAAACCGTATAATTGATTTAATTGATTTTTTTTTTTTTGAGACAGAGTCTTGCTCTGTCGCCAGGCACTAGGCTGTAGTGCAGTGGCGTGGTCTTGGCTCACTGCAACCTCTGCCTCCCGGGTTCAAGCAACTCTCCTCCCTCAGCCTCTCGAGTAGCTGGGATCACAGGCATGCACCACCACATCCAGCTAATTCTTGTCGTTTTTAGTAGAGACGGGGTTTCACCGTGTTGGCCAGGATGGTCTCGATATCTTGACCTCGTGATCCACTCCCCTCGGCCTCCTAAAGTGCTAGGATTACAGGTGTGAGCCACTGCGCCTGGCCTGAATTTTTTTTTATTTTGATATTGATGTTACGGTTTTCATTCGATGTTGATGGGTTTTTAAATTGCCCTGCCATGTGGAGTGTTACTAAAGCTCATGTGGATGAAGGCTGTTCACTCCGGTTCTGTGCTCACACTGGCTGCTTTCCTTTCCTGCCTGATGGGTCCTCTCCATCTTCCCCTTCTCCAGGGCCATCTTCCTGCCCTTGTCTCCAACCAGCTTCTTCCTTTCCTGCCCTCAGCCTCTCCTTTCTTCCCCTTATGCTTCCTTTCTGGGACTCCCAAACCCAACTGTGAGAGAGAGGCCTGAACTCAATGCCAGGGAAATGAGTGCCCATGTCCCTGCCTTGCTGCCTTCTAGTCTGACCTTGAGAAGAAGGTTCCTGAGCTCTTTGGGCTTTCGACATGTCACCTCTCAAGTAAGTGAGTTAGACCATGGATGAAAGACCTCCCACATATTCCATTTGCCTCTCTCTGTCCCTCTGTCTCTCTCTCTCTCTCTGCTGTGCTCAAATCACAGCGAATCATAATCCTAGGATTAGAAACTGGATGAGATTTGCATCAATGTGAGTCATCACACTGGAGCTGTCCACGATTCCTTTCTCCACCGTGAGCTGAGCGAAACCCTCTGTTAGGAGGCACTTCACATGCCTTGCTGAGGTTGTGGGAAATAACAGTGCCAGCCCTTTGCCAAGTGGAAGAGCCCTGGCCTTCCGTTCATTCAGTAGAGGGAAAAGTAGGGCAGGCAGAGGCAGGAACGACCTTTATTTGCAAAGGCTGCCGTGGCGCACTGTTCTTTCACCGGTCAGGCCTCGCAGGCGCCGGCATCCCTGGGATCTGCACTTTGGCACATTTTCCTTTGTGCATAAAAACTCTGTCTCACGTTTAGAACAGTGCAGTACTTAACTTTTTCCAGGATTAGGTATTCGTTTTAGTCATGAAAAAAGAAAAGGGCGTTTGACCCAAATTATAAAAACGATTGAAGTAAAACTGCCCTATTTTTCCTTCATGCTTTCACTGAAAGTGCAGTGACTATCTCCTGCTGTGTGAGTGTGGAGTTAGGGGCTCTGAGGGATGGAGGAGGAGAGGGCGACACACGTGCCGGGAATTCACATTCCCGCTGAGCTGACGGCGGGAACACGGGCAGCGCGGAGACATTGCACAAGCATTGGAAAGACATTCGAGCACAATTCTGAGAAAACATGAAAGGATTTCCACAAGTCTTTATGTCCTCTGTATATGACGGTGTTGAGACAATGGAGGGCAGGAGAAAGATGGGGTTTGTGGTGGAAACTTCCAGAAAGAAAGTTGACATGGAGCAGGTCCTTGAAGCAGGGGGCCTCAGAGCACCGTGAAGGCCAAGAAGGAGGGAGGACTTGGGTACCTGGAGGCGCAATGGGATTACCAGAGGGGAGGAGCATTGAAGACACGGTGTCAACACTGGAGAAACCGCTGCTCTGTAAGAATAACGAGCCCTTAAATGCCCGTCTGAATCTCAGCTTGACAAATGAGGCGCGTCTGAACGCCTTTGGGAAAATGATAGCACCCTGCTCTATTTGAGATAAAATCCATTTCTTCCCACTTCCGAAAGGAATTGTTGCATTGGTCCATTGGTTTTATTTTAGGAAATTTTAAAATACGAGGTAGAAAGAAAAATATAAATAAGGTATTCTCAAAGTTCTTAGCTAATAATTGGCTGATGTCACTCTCAGGTGGTTATATAATAAATTGTCTCTGTGTCGTTACATTCTAGACGCCGGAAGAAGCAGCAGAGGACTACTTAGTATTTTGAGGCAGAGGGAAGAACTACAAAAAGGCCTCAGGGCAGGAAAATTGGGCCTGTTCCAGGCACTGAAAGCTGGTGTGATTTGAGCACAGTGAAGGGAGAGAGAGAGGCAGAGAGAGAGAAGGGGGAGAGGGAAGACAGAGAGAGAGAGAGAAGACAGAGAGAAGACAGAGAGAGAGAGAAGACAGAGAGAGAGAGAAGACAGAGAGAGAGGGAAGGGAGAGAGAGAGAGAGAGGGAGAGGGTAGGGAGAGAGAAGGAGAGAAGACAGCGGGGAGGGAGAGAGAAGCAGTAGGGGCCAGTGCGGGAACAGAAGCACAATGGCGGGTTGGTGTCTCCTGGCTGGATGCCTAATGAGTTAGAATTTGAGTAGCGTATTACTTTGCTAGAGCTGTCTTAACAAAGGAGGACAGATTAGGGGCTTAAACAATGAAAAATGTATCATCTCACGGTTCTGGAGGCCAGAGTCAGAGATGGAGGTGTCTGCAGGGTGGGCTCCTTCTGAGGCTGTGAGGCAGTGCAGGTTCCAGCCTCCTTCCCGCGTCTGGTGGTCTTCCGGGCTCCAGGCCTCATTCCCGCGTCTGGTGGTCTTCCGGGCTCCAGGTCTCCTTCCCGCATCTGGTGGTGTTCCCTCCTTCCCAGTCTTTGGTGTTCCATGTGCAACAGTGCATCTCCAGCCTCTGCTCTTATCCTTACCTGGTGTTCTCCTTGTGTGCATGTCTGTCTCTGCATCCTCAGTTTCCCTTTTTGCACTGACACCTGTCATTTGGATAAGGATCTTTTTAAATGACCTCATCTTAACTCAATCACCTCCATGAAATCTCCACCTCCAAATAAAGTCACTTTCTACAGTCCTGAGGGTCAACACTCCAATGTTTTTTTTCCGGGAGACACAATTCAATACCTAGAAAACAAGAAAAAAAGAAAACTTGGTAATTATCTTCTATACAGACTTCTCTTAAAACAATGAGATGTTTATTTACCAAAATCAGGACCAAATTACAGGCCAGTATTAATATATGAAACGGCTTGCACTTCGCATGTACACTCAAATTTCCAGTCCTGATTTTCATACCAAGAAACATGGCTGAGTCATCACTTCAGACAGAAAAAACCGTTTGGGAAGGTTAAGAAAGGCCATTACTGATTGAAACAGTCTAACACTGAACTTCTAGATATAAACTCTGCTGAGCAAACGTTTTTTTCGGGTAATGTTATTTGTTGCAGACAGCAGTTGGCCATTGTATAGATCCCAAATGTGGATCAATGAGCTCCCAGATCATTGCTCAGTTTCCAGCTGCCATCCTGAGTTCACTGGTGTCACTGATTCCAACAGCAAAACACTGGTGCATGAAATTAACAACCTTATAAATAGATTCCAGCCAGTCTGTCAGACAAAAGGCTGCACTTCTCCCCTGGAAACAATCACAGAATTCCAGCAAAAGTCTCCAAACACCTCTTCATAATTCAAGGAACCTAACAACAGACAGATGCACTGCTTCCTTTTCCATGTTCTAACTCAGTGCTGCTGCTCTGTGACTGAGAACAGGCTAGTACAACCCGTACGCATCTTTAAGTGTGCAGGGAGCCTCACTTAAAGTGTTATTTATAGCATGTTCATCCTTAGGGACTTTACCATGAAACCACCACCTTTAATGCTGATGATTAGCGTTACCATGGACCCTGGATTAGAGGGGGGCAAGTGGTATAGATTCCCTGGGCAAAGACCCACCCACAGTGGGTTTGAGCTCTCCCAGTGGCAGAGTAGGATGATAGCTGCACCTTCTTTTAAGGGTAATAAATCTTGTGAATGTGCATGGCATGAGTTTTCTGCCAGCATCTTTATATAGCAATGCATACTTGCAAATACATCCAACCAAGGTCAACAAAAGAGCACACTGATGCTTTGGTAGAGAACTCAGCTGTCTCC